TGAGATGCTGCCCCAATGCCCAGAGAAATCCTGGATGGGGTGGAGAGCATCTCATCCCTGCATGTCCACGTTTTGCTCCTGGTCTGCAAAACCTGGCTGGGGATTGATGCTGGAGCTGGTGATTGCCAGGAGTGTGGGGGGTTTGTCAAAGTTTAGGCAAAACAGACTTAAAAGGCACCTTTGAAACTTGTGCTCATGATCTGGTTAATTAGAACTCTGCTGCTACTGGGAAATAAAAGTGCCTGATTGCTAATTACTGAATCCCTGCATGAAAGGAGCAGCAGAAGCAGTTGGTGACAGTTGCAGCCAGAGCTGGCTTTGTGCAGAGTTAAAATACAAAACCCAGACTTTTTAGGGCATTTAGGTGTCTGGGCTTTGCATAGGAGCAAGTGAAAAATCCAGCAGAAAGAGCCACAAGGCAAATTCTGCCTCCTGTGAGAACAAGGGTGGGAATCCTGTGGCTCATAAAATCAACTTGTTCAAAGGCAAATGCACACCAGGCTCCTAAAATTGCTGGGGAACTTAAAAATTCATAAGGCTGGGAAACCCAGTATGTTTGGAGGTTCCTTTTCTGTGGCCTTCAAGGCTACTGAGATCCAAGAGTCTCACATTATCTGGCTTTTACTTGCAATGATAGTTAAAATGGTTTAAAGGCTGTAACAGTTAAAAATTCTTAAATATACACAATTATTTTTAAAATGAAAAATTAAATTAAAATACTATAACATTTAAAATTATTTTAAATTTTCTATTTAAAAACTATTTTTAAAATTTAAAATATTAATTTTTTAAAAAATGAAGAATAAAATAAAAAATAAAAAGTTTAAAAATAATTAAAAATTATTTTAAATTTTATATTTTTAAAAATTATTTTTAAAATTTAAAATAATATTAATTTTTAAAAAATTAAAATAAAATAAGAAATTAAATAAAAAATTAAATAAGAAATTAAATAATCTCTTTAAAATAAAGAGATGCCACGGTCAAGAGCAGAAGAAGACAACATGAATGTGTGGAGAAGGTGGTGGATGTGGATGGGGAAGGTTTCCAGCCACAGGACATCCCTCACCACAGGCTGAGAGCACGGGGATAGCTCAGGTCCCTCTAATGTCCTCAGCAGAGATGCCTTGGATGGTCAGACAGGAAAAATCCTGTGAAAAGGGACCTCTAAAGGTAATTTCCTGCCTAGGAGCAGGCAGGGAGAACCATGGTTTGCCCAAGGAACAGGTGTCCAAGGCCCCTAGGCAGGGAAGGGGTCAGAGCCATCCCCTCCTGCTGCACCCCAGCGCTGGCTCAGGCTCAGAAGGATTCCCAGCCAGGTGCTTATTGCTGACTTCCTCTCCAGCTGGGCACTCACACAGCCCAGGAGGGAGCTGGGAAGGAGCTGAAAAGCCCAAATCCTCTGAAAAAGCTTCTTCCTTCCCCTTGAGGCTCTGCCAGCACCCAATTTAAGGATGTGTCCCTGCCTGCCTCCCTGAAACCCGAGCCATTCCCTCCCCGCCATGTCTCCTTAGCGCTCTTCCCTCTCTTCTCTTTCTGCTTCTTCTTCCTCCTCTTCTCCCTCTCTTTCTGCTTTGCTTTGGGGATGATCTGTCCCAGGATGGGTTGCAGGGCTGCCATCCTGCTGTAACCCAGCAGCAGCAGCCCCAAAACTGCCAAGGGATGACAGGCTGGAGCTGTTCCGTTGATGGATGAGATCCATTTTCTTCCCCCTTTTTAATTTTTTTTTAAATTTACTAAGCAAGATCTCACCTAAAGAAAAAAAAAATCCTGCCTTATCCCCATCCCATCTTATCAGGAATATTAATTTAAATTGTTATTTCTGAAGATTTTATAACTAACTAGCCAGCTCCTTTGTTTACTTCAAAAGAGGACGGATATTTCTGGGATTTGATACACCCATCTTTATACTGGAGAGAAAATACCAAACAGGTACGTGGATTTATGATGCTTTTTTTTTTTTTTTTAGGTCAGGGTGGTAATTACAAATAATGATCTGGCAGGGTGGTGGCAGCTGAAAAACTGTGATTTCTCCTGCAGTTGTTTGAATAATCAAGAAGTGGAAGAAGTGAAAAACAGAGAACTGGGGTTCACTCAAGCTGTGGCCAAGGGGACCAAAAGGGATGAAAGGACCTGTGGGGTCCTGTGTCCAGATGGGAGGAGAGGGCAAAGGGCTGGCTGGGCACAGTGTGTTTGCTGTGCTGTGTTATTTGGGGTGAAAGCAGAGATTTTCTGTCCCCACATTAAAGCCCTGCTCCTCCCCTGTGGGTTTTGTTCCATCCCTGGTGGTCAGTGCTTGTGCAGCATGGGGGTGATGGAGGATTTGCTGCTTTTCCAGCAGGTTCATGGTGAGGGGTGGCTTCACAGGACACCTGACAGCCTGAAAACCTTGGTGTGAAAGGACTTCCATAAACCCACATTGAGCAACTCCTTAAATCATAGAATCATCACTAAATCATAGAATCATCACAAAAATCATAGAATGGTTTGGCTTGGAAGGGACCTTAAAGTTCATCCCATTCCACCCCCCTGCAGGGCACCTTCCACTATCCCAGGTTTCTCCAAACCCCATCCAACCTGGCCTTGGACACTTCCAGGGATGGGGCAGCCACAGCTGCTCTGAGTGATGGTAAAAGGGATGCTGGGTTTTGCTACAGTGCCATACAGACTAATTAAGGCTTAAAATCAGATTTTAATCCGTGGGGATTCTGCAAGAGCCCCAGCACCCCTGGTTTAAGGAAGGGGCTTCAGTTTTCAGCTGAATCTTGAGCGCTGGGGGTGCAGGTTGAAAAGCAGCTGGAAAAGCACAGGCGGAGAAGCAAAGCTGGGGTTTCCCTCTCGGGGGTCAGCCGTGGCACAGCACGGCAGTGGTTAATGCTCGCTGCCACCCTGCGAGGGAGCAGGAACGCGCTGGCTGCGGCACAAGAGTGGCCAGTGATGACAAGGTCCCTGCGGGCAGGACCGGGACGCGCTGCCGGGCTTCGGCCGGGCCGGGGCCATCTGTCAGCCCTGCCCCGCCGCAGAGAGGGGAGCGCCCGAGGCACAAAAGGCGACATTATTCGGTGCTTCAGGAGGGATGAATGGAGTATTGAAAGCCACCACCTCAGCGAGTGGATTGGTTTTCAGCCCCCATCACTGAGCTGTCTGTCTCCTCCAGAGGCTTGGGCAGCAGGAGCCGGGCAGAGATCAGGGAGATGGAACCGGGCTGTGTCCCACCCACCCGGGCTCCTTCCTACGCCTCCATCACCTCTTGCTGGGGCACAGAAAATCCTTTGGTTCACCATCATCTCTCCCTAGTGAAGGCAATGAGGTCCAAGCCTTGGTCTGGATGCTCTGGAGCCCCCCATCGTGGTGGTGTTCACAGGGGTCCCAGGACAAGGGAAGAGATGAGAATCTTGACTCCATGTTTCAGAAAGCTGATTTATTATTTTATGATATAAATTCTATTAAAAGAAAATGATATATTAAAACTATACTAAAAGAATAGAGAAAGGATTTCATCAGAAGGATTGAAAGGAAAGAAAGGAATGGTAATAAAATCTTGTGACTGCTCACAGCCTTGACACAGGTGGCTGTCATTGGTCATCAATAAAAACAATTTCACATGCTGGGTGTAAACAATTCTCCAAAGCAGCAAAACATGGAGAAGCTGAACCTTCTCAGGAGAAAAGATCCTAATGAAAGGATTTTTCATAAAATATGTCTGTGACACCCCAGCCCAGCCCATGGTCTGGAGGGACCTTGGCTGGGTAGACACCAGCACATGGTCCCACCTTGGAGCTCTTCTCATGCCAGGCCTCCACATGGGACAACCAGGAGCAGCAGGAGGCTGGATGAGTGGTTTCCATGGGAAGGAGGGGTTAGTCACTGATTTCAATGTGGATTTCAACGACCTTTCCTGAGTTTCTGACCACCAGCAGATGCCTGAAGTGGCAGCAGTTGTTGTGCATCCCTCCAGGAGCTAGTGTGCCCTGTGTGGGCTGCAGGGATTAATTTTAGAGCTTGCCTGAGCTATGTTGTAAATCAAAGGGGACTCTGACAAGGAGAGAATGATGCATCTGACTCCATGGATATCAGAAGGCTAATTACTTTATTGTATTATACTGTGTATATTTCATCTAAACTGAACCTGCCAAGCACTCACTCTGCACACAACTGCTCTGAATCTCATGACTGTCAGCCAACAGTCCTGACACACACCTGGCCCTGATAGGCCAAGGAAACAAAACACCATCACTGTGGGTAAACAATCTCCACGTTGCATTCTACTTTGGCACAACACAGGCACAGCAAATGCTAAGAATTACGTTTTCCCTTTCTCTGAGGTTCAGAGAACGTGAATCTCAGAAATCCTTGAAGAATTGTGCCTTGCTTTTCTCTGTGAAGGGAAAAGTGGCATCAGAGCTGAGCCTGACAGCCCGGCTTTGGAGCCGGCGGGCGGGAGCGGGAGCATCCTCCCGATGTGAGGGAGCATCCTCACGGTGGCGGGAGCATCCTCACGGTGTGACAGGAGCATCCTCACGGTGGCGGGAGCATCCTCACGATGGCACTGCTCCCCCAGCCACGCTGCCACCAGCCCGGCCACAGGGAGCGAGGGATGCGGGTCTGGGATCCCAGAGGAATCCTGGACCAGCACCCATCCTCTTCCCAGAGAGCCTGCGAGTGAATCCACCCCTTGGCAGCGAGGGGGAAATAGAATCTTAAGATACCGAATCTCTTCCTCATTTTCTGCTGACGTTCCCTGTTGTTGAGTTTTATCTCACAGGTGGGGTACAGCCCTTCAGCTTCATCTTGCCACTCAAAAAAATTGCTTGTTCTCAATTAATCCAGATTTTCATGTGTCTTCTGGTCACTGCTCCTGGAAACACTGAGGAGGGGCAGGTCCTGCATGGCCCTTGGTGACCATAGGCTCTCCTGGCCAGCACCACTAACACTGCTGTCTGCATGTTTCAGGGAGGTGTCCTCTGGAAATTCGCCTGCAGGAGGGGCTGACAGCAGCAATGACACTCGGTCCCTGTCCGGACACCGAGGTGCTGCCTCTCTCCTTGATGCCAGCCACACTCCTCATCCTCCTCATCCTCAGCCCCACTGGTGAGCTCCCGCCTGGGGCACTGGGAGGGGGTTTAAGCACCCGTGATCCCTCTCCATCAGATTTGTGGGCAGATTTTCTCCAGGCACAGGATTGTTGTGGTGTCCCCTACATTCCCGAGTGTGCACAGGGATGGAGGAGCAAGTTCAGCTCTTCTGTCCCACCTTGACCTGGCTGTGATGGCAAGCCCGGCATGCAGGACAGGCAGAGGAATGGGGCAGGCAGCTGCCAGCACTGGTGACAGAGCAGTTCTGGGCTCTGGAGCAGGCAGCATCCGTGGGGAGATGCTGATGGCCAGGAGATGCTCCTGGAGTTGTTCCCCAGGACCTGTGGGACCAGTCCTGCCAAGGAAAGCGGTGGAACGAGCACCCACCCTGTGACTGTGTTCACAGGGGTTTTAGGTTCAGGGAAGAGACGAGGATCTGACTCCATGTTTCAGAAGGCTGATTTATTATTTTATGATATATATTATATTAAAACTATACTAAAAGAATAGAAGAAAGGATTTCCTTTTCAGAAGGCTGGCTAAGAATAGAAAAGGAAAGAATGATAACAAAGGTTTGAGGCTCGGACTCTCTGTCCGAGCCAGCTGGGCTGTGATTGGCATTAATTAGAAACATCCAACATGGGCCAATCACAGATGCACCTGTTGCATTCCACAGCAGCAGATAACCATTGTTTACATTTTGTTCCTGAGGCCTCTCTCAACTTCTCAGGAAGAAAAATCCTAAGGAAAGGATTTTCCATAACAGATGTCTGGGACACCCATCCCCTGAGAACAACGGGCTCTACTCACTCCTGGCAGGCACTGTGCAGCCAGGAAGCTTTTCAATAGACCTGGGAAAAGCCATTCCCGCTCTGGAAGGCGGGTCCACACCAGTGCTGTGGCAGCGAGGTGATGCCAGTGTCTCTGTCCCTGTCACTGCAGCATTCCTGCCTCAACGAACCTGCCCAGGCACAGCCGGCGGGAAAGCTGGGAATTCAGATCTACTCAGACATCCTACCTGAGTTAAATCGGGTTTTACCTTTCCACCCCCTCAGCTGGTGCTTCCCTTCCCCCTCGGGATGCTGTGGCAGCATCCGTGCTCACACTCCGGGTGTGGGGACCTGGTGGCTCTGTCCCTGTCCCCTGCATGGCCTGGCTCTCCTCGTTCTCCTCCTTAATGGGCACAGATCAGTCGCTAACGAAGGGCCATTTGTCCTCCCGTTTGGTGGTTTTGTTTACTCGAGCAGTTTTTCTTTTGGCTTTGTGAAGTTGGATCAGAGAAACATGGAGGGCTCTATCTCTCCTCAAAAAGACAGTTCCTTATTATTGTAGACACACCAGGCATATTCTTTTCAGATCTCTCCTGACTTTGCTGGAGGATGCTGGAGAATGAATATTTCAGAGCTTTGATTTTGACTCAAAGGGAGATGAATATTTATCAATGTCCTTTTTATCCACTGCTTTTTTGGCACTGGAGTGGACTAGGTGTTAAAAATCAATACAAGCCAGGATCAAACACTCTTCCTAGAAACCCACACATCTCCCCACTTTTGGTGCAGGGGTGAGCTGAATTACCTCTACCGTGTTGTCCAGCCCACAGGGCTGCTCTATCCTTCCCTGTCCTCTCCTGCAGAGCCTCTCTGCTCCTGTGGTCTCACCTGTTTAATTCCCAATTCTTGCTGGAATCACAGCATCCCTTTCCATGCCTGCTCCAGCTGGGTATGGCAGGAGCACTGACCACGCTGGAGCTCCCTGGCTTCTGATGTTCATCCCAGCATCCCTGCTAAGTCATGGATACAGCCAGACAGTTGCCTTATTCTCCTTTCTCCTGGGGCTTCTAGGTCTTTCTTTGACAGCCCTGATTTCTGGCTGACTTAATGGTCTCCCAGGCAACGTCCTAGCAAGGAAAAGGGAGGTGGGCTCATGTGCTGCACTGTCCCCCCAGGCTCACACTGCTTCTCAGGGTGGTGACATCCACCCCCAGAGCAGCTGGGACTGACCTCCACGTCACTGCTGGTGGGCTGAGAGTGAAGCAGCACAGGGCTGGTCTGAGGCAGTGGGAGGAAAAGAGGCCACAGAGGCACCACAGGTGTTGATCAGCCCTTGGGTGCTGTAATTAGCATGGAGGCACCACAGAATCATGGAATGGTTTGGGTTGGAAAGGGACCAAACCATTAAAATTTATCTCCTTCCAAACCCCCTGTCGTGGGCAGGGACACCTTCTCCTAGGTTTGAAAGGATTTTGGAAGGTGTCACCCATGGGAGAGGGTTGTGCAGCCAGAGCCTCAAGCCCAGGACACCTCAGATGCCCAAGGAGATCTGTGCTGGGCTCCAGCATCAGACAAGGGCTTGTGGACTGGGATACCTACAAGGCCCAGCTGCTCATCCCCATCCACCATCCCCCAGGGCATCATGATCATGGTGCTGTGACCTCCTGGGAAAGCTGGAGCTCTCTGTGATCCATTCCAGGGAGGATCCCACATCACTCAGCAGTGGGGCTGAGAGGGATTTTGTGCCCAAATAATGCCCAGCAGTGGGAGGGGGGTCCAGAGATGAGGACATATCCTGCATCCTTCAAGTGCTCACCTCCCTCTGGATGGGGTTCACCCCCTAAGATGGCTGCTCCCCATCAGAAGGTGTGTTGTGTAATTATGGAGCTTCCAAAAAGTGGATTTCGTTGGGAAAATAAAAGGAAAACATCAATGAAAACGCACACAGGGTGCAGCATCTTCCATCAGGAGATCTCCAGTGGGTTTCTCAAGCTGGACAGGATTGATTTTCCTTGTTCCCATCTCACCACCCAAGTTTTCCATGGGGATGATGGGGCAGGAGGATACAGGAGCTGCCCCAGCAAGGCAACAATGGGGTCAGGGATGGACTAAAAGGTCCCCAAGACCTGGCCCAAGACAGGATCCACATGGAGTGGCTTCTGCTGGCCACTGGGCTCATCAGGGTCACACATGTCACCTTGTGCTTCACAGTCCCACCAGAGTCACAGCCACTCAGTTTCTGCTTCAGTTTCCCCACTATGAAGTAGATGAAGTGGTGCCCTGGGGAGGTTTGTTCATTTTTTCCCCTAAAAACTCCAGGACTTTGCAGGAAAGGGAAGGATCCAAGGGCTGCTGGGTCCTGCCAGTCCCCACCACCCCCATCCCATCCCATCCCATCCCATCCCATCCCATCCCATCCCATCCCATCCCTCTCCAAGCTGCACCTTCTCCTCTCTGGGGAGAGCTGATCCTTCCTCTTCTCCCTTACAGGCACCACCTCTGAGCCCGAGATGTTGCCATTCCCAGGTGAGATTCTTCTCTGAAAGTCACTTTTCTCCAGGAAGTTTTGTAGGTTAAAAATGATTTTTTTAGGTAAAAGAAGGAATTTGGGGAATTTAAAAAAGGAAAGATATTGGTTTGGAACAAAAAGTGGCAAGAAGAAGCTAAACTTCTTTTACAGAAAGAAAATAAAGATTTTTTTATTATCTCTATTCTGCTAATTATCCTGAGAGCACATTTTCCACCTCCTGCTAAGTCCTTGCCCCTGTGCCATACATCACAGACAAGTAAATAATTCCCTTGATGTGGTGGACCCTGGGCACTTCCATGCCTGCTCCCCATCACCAGCAGCTTGAGAGATCATCTCCATCCCACCAGCTCTGGATGCATTCACTGAGGCTAATAAGAATTTGTTAATTGCATCTTGTCACTTGTCACCCATTGTAAGTCAACATGTGGTGCCACGTGTCTGCTTTTCCCTTCACCCTTGGGTTTTTGGCCATTAGCAGGGGAGATGATGGGAGCGCCACAGAATGGTTTGGGTTGGAAGGGACCTTAAAAACCACCTCATTCTACCCCTGCCATGGGCAGGAACACCTTCCACAAGGCCAGGCTGTCCAAAGCCCCATCCAGCCTGGCCTTGCTGAGGGTGCATCTCATTCCTGGACTCAGATGTGCTGTGGCTCCACAGCCACTGCTGCCAGCAGATGGAGGGGAGCCCATGTCCCACCAGCAAGCCAACAACTGCCTTGTGTAGTGGGATAGAATATAAGAAAATAAAGATGGTGTAGAAAGTAATCTTACCCCTAAGGAGTTGCAGCTGGGCCAATTATCAAAGATTAGGAGCAGGCCTGACTTTACCAGGCCACAGCTGTAAGCAATGAGAAGATGCTATAAAAGAGTGGGGTGGCTGGTTAGGAAGGGAACTGGAGTCATTTGGCTGCTTTGTGAAGAGTAAAGAGTCAGTGCTCTGAGAAAAAACACCAAGAAGGTGTGAAACTTTTGTGATAAAGCAATGACAGTATGGAACCCCTGCAACAAGATGACAACAGCCTCGTGCTACAGAGAAGGGGCAGGAGATTGATGTAGAGATTTTCCTTAGAGATTTTCTCTAAGGAGCAGGAGTTTGATGTAGATTTGCTCCCCATGGCCTGTTGCCTGCTGAGGGAGCTCTGTGCTGCCCTCCTCCCAGAGATCTGCCTCTCCAGCGGACCCAGCCGCTGCCAGGGCCGGCTGGAGATCCCCATGATTTTCTCTAAGGAGCAGGAGTTTGGTGTAGATTTACTCCCCACGGCCCATGGCCTGCTGAGGGAGATCTCTGTGCCCTCCTCCCAGAGATCCGCCTCTCCAGCGGGCCCAGCCACTGCCAGGGCCGCCTGGAGACCCTCATGACTTTCTCTAAGGAGCAGGAGTTTGGTGTAGATTTGCTCCCCATGCCTGAGGGAGCTCTCTGTGCCCTCCTCCCAGAGATCCACCTCTCCAGTGGGCCCAGCCACTGCCAGGGCCAGCTGGAGATCCTCATGATTTTCTCTAAGGAGTTTGGTGTAGATTTGCTCCCCTTGAGGAGGCTGCCTGCTGAGGGAGCTCTCTGTACCCTTCTCCTAGAGATCTGGCTTTCCAGTGGGCCTAGCCACTGCCAGGGCCGCCTGGAGATCTTCATGATTTTCTCTAAGGAGCGAGAGTTTGGTGTAGATTTGCTCCCCATGCCTGAGGGAGCTCTCTGTGCCCTCCTCCCAGAGATCCGCCTCTCCAGCGGGCCCAGCCGCTGCCAGGGCCGCCTGGAGATCCTCATGATTTTCTCTAAGGAGCAGGAGTTTGGTGTAGATTTGCTCCCCATGCCTGAGGGAGCTCTCTGTGCCCTCCTCCCAGAGATCCGCCTCTCCAGCGGGCCCAGCCGCTGCCAGGGCCGCCTGGAGATCCTCTACAACGGCTCCTGGGGCACCGTGTGTGACGACGACTGGGACATGGTGGATGCCAACGTGGTGTGCCGCCAGCTGGGCTGCGGCCATGCCATCACCCTGCCAGCTGCCATGACCTTCGGCCAGGGCACCGGGCCCATCTTCCTGGACAACGTGGACTGCAAGGGCTCGGAGGCTGCCCTGAGCGAGTGCTGGAGCCACGGCTGGGGCATCCACAACTGCTACCACTATGAGGATGTGGCTGTGGTGTGCAATGGTAATGAGGGTGGGTTCCTCAGGGGGCAAGGGGTTGCTGTGGAGGGCAAGACTCGGGGGCTGCAGGGGGCTTGGTGGGGCCCAAGAGTCTTATCTCAGAGCCTGACATGGGTCAGCCAAACATCTTCTGCCTTCTCCTCCCACCCCTCTCCTCAATCCAGGTCACGTCCCTGCTCCACAGGCCTGGCCAGCCTGTTTTGTGTTCCTTGTCACTCCTAGATCAGGGACTTTGCATGATCCCTGGGGAAGGAGCACATGCCCACCCACACTCCTGCCTCTGAGTCAGTTGCTGCCCAACTGCTCTTTCCCCTTTTGACTTGTGTTTCTTTAAACTGCTGAGCTTTTCAGTAGGAGATGTTCCTAAAGGTGAGAAAAGCAGTGGAAAGTGTTTGAACTTGGCAAGTGAAAGTGGAACGGCTCTGTGAGGACCCTTATGTACCCCACACACGTTCCTCCCTCGCTGTGCAAGGTTTGCTCATCAGCCAGACACCAGTGAGCTGTGAAAGGGAGGCTCTGCAGACCTGGAGCAGCTGTTCTGTGAATCCCCACGTCCTGCAGAAACAGGGCTTGGAAAAGGAGGGAAGGAAAGGCAGGGATGCTGGGTTGGTGGTAGGTTGTACCAACAGCAACCAGAGAACAGAGGTTGTGGATTGAGTAGGAAAATAAATCATGGCATTGTTGGAGAGGAGAGGTGGAAGGAGTGAGAAGGGAGGTGGGGAGCTGGGTCTGAGGGAAGAAGAGAGGCTGGAGGCATTGGCAGAGAGCTCTGGTGCAGCTGCAAACCCCTCTGTTTTCAGCTGGGGCTGATCCTCCTGGAGCAGTGGGGTGGGAGGGATGCTTCCAGGTGGAGCAGCAGCAGGTGCCACCTCTCCTCTTCCCTTTGCAGAGTTCTCACCCACGCAAGTCAGTGAAGGACCGACCACCAGGACCCTCACAGCCTCGGTACAGGATGGGGAAAGTAAGCTGTTCAGCCTGCAGGGGGGCATCTTGCCTGAGGGCAGTGTCCCTTACTGTCCCCTGCTGCCCCTCTTGAAGCCTCTCTGAGCTGCAGACCCCCAAACCCCATCATTGTGCTGGCCAGATCCCAGAAATTCCCAAGCCCCATTGCTCCAAAGCTTCGTCCCTTCCCCTCTCTCTCTCACCCATTTCCTTTGCCATCACGGGCACGGTGGCAGCGTTGTGCCACGTTCAGGGACACCGCATCCCTCTCACCTCGTGCTGCCACCTCCAGGTGACGGCAGCATCCGCCTGGTGAGCGGCCCCGACACCTGCCAGGGCCGGGTGGAGATCTTCTACCGCGGCAGCTGGGGCACCGTCTGCGATGACGACTGGGGCCTGAGCGATGCCAGCGTGGTCTGCAAGCAGCTGGGCTGTGGGCAAGCCCTGGATTACAAGAGCAATGCCTATTTTGGCTATGGAACAGGACGGATCCTCCTGGACAACGTCAACTGCGACGGCAGCGAGCCCTTCCTGTCCGCCTGCTACAGCCTGGGCTGGGGCATCCACAACTGCGGCCACCACGAGGATGCTGGGGTCATCTGTGCAGGTGCCAGGCAGGGCATCACCCTTAGGGTGGGGAAAAACCCAGGGACAGCCTGTTCTCCAAGCAAAAATGCCCTCGGGAAGATGCTGAGATGCTCAAAGCTGGGCAGGGCTCTGTGCTGTGGGAGCATCCTTGCTCCTTATCCGCCCTCATCGTGGTACTCTGGAGCAGCAACCCCACACCAAGAGGCCAGAGCACAGCCAGGGTGGGGATTTGCAGGGGAAATGCATCTGCCCTCCTGCCAGGGAAATGCATCTGCCATCCTGCCCCTTCCCCTGCCATTTCCCTGCTCTGCTGGCTGCAAACGAGCTGCCCGTGTCCGGAAGGAGCGAGAGGCTGCCAGGGGCTGGGCACGGCGCCAGGCCCAGCCTGCCTCCCCTTCCCCTCCTGAAATGATGTATTCCTGCCATCCTCCACTGATTACTGTTTATAATCTTAATAATCCCCCTGAATTCCCTCATTATCATGGCTAATGACGGGAGCAGTGAGTGCCAGTGCTTTCCCTTTCTCACTGTTAATGGATAAAGGGGATGATGTAGGACAAAAGGGACAATTTTTTCAGGATGGTCCTTTCCTGCCTAAACATCCCCATCCCCTCTGGCACCTCCTCTGGGCACAGAGTCCATGGCACCACCATGCCCAGACCTTGCTCAGAGGGGCAGGGGATAGTGAAACATAAATGCTAATGAATCCTGATGAGAAATCTCCCAGGTGTCACCTCTGTCCCTCTGTGTCACCACAGGACTGGACACATCCACCATCACATCATTCACCACCTCGGTGGCCCTGGACTCTGAGGAGACCCTGACTGCCACAGCCACAGGTAGGAGGTTGGCAGTCACTCATCTGGGGGGGAAGCTGTGCCCTCTGTGTCCTCTTGTGACCCAGCCTGGCCACCCTGGGGTTCTGCCATGCCTGGGTGACGCTCAAGGGGTGACACTGCCCATGGCAGGGTGTGGCCAGGGGGCAGAAATAGTGCTGGGGGCCACTGACTGGAACAGGGGCAGTGGGTGCTGGATCTGGACCCCTTGATGCCCACATGTCCCCATGCTTGTCCCAGCAGTGACAGACAGCAGGGACCAGCCCTCCCAGGCCACCGAGGTGGTCACCACCACGCTCCTGACCATCGAGCAGGAAAGTAAGTGTGCAGCTGCTGCTGGGGCTCCATGCCCCTGGGGGAGTCACTCCACATCCCCATGGCTCCTTCCATGTCCCCAAAGGTCCCCCCATGTTTCAAGTGCTCAATCCATGCCCCAGAAATTATCTCACATCCCCAGGGTTCATACCACATCCCCAGGATTTACTCCATGCCCATAGGGTGTTCACCCCGTGACACTCAAGGGTTCATCCCATATCTCCATGGCTTGCTCCATGCTCACAGTGCTGCTTGGGAATCACCCCATGGACCCAGTGTCACCCCACATCACCAGCACTCACCCTGTGTGCCCAGGGGCTCAGCTCACATCCCCATGGTCACCCTGAGCTCTCCAGATGTTACCCCATACCCCAGAGACTCACCCCACACCCACAGGGATTTGTCCCACACCCCCAGGGGGTGGCACCCATATCCCAGAGATTCACTCCACGCCCACAGGGGTTTGACCCACATCCCCAGATGTTACCCATACCCCAGAGTCTCACCCCATACCCACAGGGGTTTGCCCCACACCCCAAGGCAGGTGTACCCACATCCCCAGGGGCTACCCCATAACCCAGAGACTCACCCCATGCCCACAGGGGATTGCCCCGCATCCCACAGGGGTTTGCCCCACGACCCCAGGGATTACCCCATGCCCACAGGGGATTGCCCCACACCCCAAGGGGGTTGTACCCACATCCCCAGGGGTTACCCCAGAAACCAGGGGCTCACCCCACGCCCTTGGAGGGTGAGCAGGGGACAGCGGCCCCCCCTGTGCAGCCCTGCTCCCCCCGGCGTCGTGGCTCGCAGGTGGCGGCTTGCGGCTGGCGAACGGCAACGGGAGCTGCCGCGGGCGGGTGGAGGTGCGGCACGGCGGCACCTGGGGCACCGTGTGCGACGACGACTGGGACTTCCCCGACGCCCAGGTGGTTTGCCGGCAGCTGGGCTGCGGCACCGCCCTGGCCGCCACTGTGCTGGGCTCCTTCGGCTACGGCAGCGGGCCCGTGCTGCTGGACAACGTGGGCTGCGGCGGCAGCGAGGCGCGCCTGGCCGACTGCTTCCACCTGGGCTGGGGACAGCACAACTGCGGCCACCACGAGGACGCCGGGGTCATCTGCCGAGGTGAGAGAGAGGGGGAGGGTGTCTTGGTTTGGAAAGACCGGTGTCTGCTAAGGAAGGCAGGAGCCTCCGCTGAAATGGAGAATGTAAACCCTCCCCACTGCTCTGAATTGTTATAAATTTTAAATTAAGGGGCTCTCAGGCAAAAAAATATGGGAGCAGGAAATAACAGTTCTTTAATAGGGAAGAAAAATAAAAGGATAAAATAAACAATGCAGTACACTAGAACAACAGTGACAGAGTCAGAGCCCAGCCTGACACCCTGTGGGTCAGGGTGTTGGCAGCAGAACCATTGGAAATGTGGCTCAGCCCTCCTGCAGTGTCAGGGCTGGTTCTGCTGGAGCAAGGGGATCCTGTAGAGAAGGATGGATTCTGCCTCTGAAGATCCAGTGGAAGAAGAGGCAGCTGCTGTTCCTCTGGGAAATCCTGTGGAGAAAGCCATGCTGGTGTTCCAGAACCTCCAGATTATATCCATGTAGGAATGCTTGGCTCCTCCCTCTGGGCGGAGCATCTCACAGTGGGATGTTATAGTTCTTATCAGCCATGCACTGACATTCAATAGCTGTTATCATTCAATATCTGTTATCAGCAGATGTCCCCTCCCGAGGGAGGGGTGATTGTGGTCACTCAAAGAGAGAGATAAGGCAAACTGCCCACTTGACAAAAGATAACTGTCATACAGATGCTAATAGAAAACATCTTGCCTTGCAGTCTGGGACAGAGGGTGACTGGAGGTCTCCAATGAAGCCCAGCTCAGTGGGAAAGTAAATGAGAGAATGGGTGTAGGGAGGGATTTCCATGCTCAGGCTGGAAATGGGGTCCCCCAAATGGGCTTGGGGTGAAGAATGAGCCGTGGCAGTCGGTGCCATGGTGTGGGTCATGGCTGGAGTGTGGCACCCACTGTGGTCCCCATTAGTGCACAGTGGCCGCACATCCCACCCAACATCCCTGCAGCCATCCCACTCCACTGGGGGGCTCTGACCTGGCCCTGTCCCTTGTGTCACTTTTCCTACCTCTCCTCCTGCAGCCATCCCACAGCACTGCTCGGGGGCTCTGACCTGACCCTGTCCCTTCAGTCACTTTTCCCACCTCTCCTCTGCTGCACCAGGTGCTGATGACACTGAAGACCATTTCCAAGAGGCCACTGCTACAACCACCACACTGGCCCCAACTCGTCCCAAGGAGGGTAAGTACTGGGGTGTCACCTGGGGACACAGTGCCAGCCCTGGGGATGCTCTATGCTGGCACCGGGTGGAAAAATAAATGGCTCAAGCACAGGCACAAGATCTGGCAGTGCCTGGAGCGGCCCACAGGAGGGGAAAAACCTGATGACACTGTTAAGTCACAGCTTCTTCTGGTGCCCCCAAGGCTGGTTCAGGCAGAGGTGGTGGACATGAGGGTGGGGACAGCAGGTGATGGACCAAAGGGGCAGAGCTGGCAACAGAGGTGATTGTCTGTTCCACGATGCTCTGAGGGTCACCCCCCAGCTCTGGCAGGTACAAAGGCAGAGGGGGAGCTCTGGGCTGACCCCAGGGCAGGCAGGGAGAGTGGGACACAGCTCTGGGGTGGGCACAGGCAGGGGCTGCCTCACCCCCTGCCCTCCCCAGGGTCCCTGCGCCTGGTGAACGGCAGCCACCGGTGCGAGGGGCGCGTGGAGATGTTCTACCTGTCCCAGTGGGGCACCGTGTGCGACGACGCCTGGGACCTGCGGGATGCCAAGGTGGTGTGCAGGCAGCTGGGCTGTGGGCACGCCCTGGCAGCCTGGGGGGAGGCACACTATGGCCAAGGAACAGGCTACATCTTCCTGGACAACCTCAAGTGCAAGGGCCACGAGCCCTCGCTGCTGCGCTGCTCCCACATCCGCTGGGACGTCCACAACTGCGACCACTCCGAGGATGCCGGTGCTGTCTGTGACATCCTATGACCCTCACACAGGTAAGGGGGGACAGGGAGGCTGCAGGGAGCTGGTGGCAATGCCACAGAGAGGGGTTGAACCCTTGGTGTTGGTCTGGATGCACTCCCTGCACTGGATGTTTGGGGTCTGAGAGTGGGAGGCTGAAGAAGCACAAATGAGCAAGGGGAAATAGAGGAGGCTTTGATTATGTTGCCACCTTCTGAGATAATCAGCTGGCCTCTGGTGTGGGGCTCAGGAGCTCTGCTGCCCAGGAACTGGACGTTTGGGGTCTGAGAATGGGAGGAGTTGGGTGAGGACTGGGTTCTACTCAGCTCCTGAAATAGTGGCTGAAGCTTCCCACCCCCAGACTGCCCCTTGGAAAAACAAAACTGCTTCTGGTGTGAAATCTGGTTGGTTTCAGCCATTTCTTTTAAGAGATGAGGAAAGAAAAATGGATTTTCTGCTGTGAAAATGATGTGAAATTATACTCAGAAAATGTAAAAAGGGGGCTGAAATCACACCAGGATGCTCCAGTGGCTCTGCAGTGAGTTACTGTTGTTCTGCAATTTGCTTTGCAAGCCCTCCAGCAATCCCAATACCAGCTTTTTCTTCCCATTTTGGCACCAGAAATACCAATTCCTCCCCCATTCCCATGCAGCAGAAATGCAGGCGTTGGATCTCACGCCATCTGCAATCCTTGTGCCTGTTTCACCTGTTCCTTCTGCAAACACTGGGGGGTTTAGGAGAGCTCAGATGAGATTTTTCCCTTCCTGGGGGGCTTCAGCACAGCCAGTCCATGCCCAAAAAATCTCCTGGGGAGTGGGAAAGGATGGGGATACCCTGCAGTCCCCCCATCCTTCTCCATCCTGTGCTGGCTTTGGCTGCTCTGTCCCAAAAGCTCCATGCTCTGAGGAGCCCAGGGCAGGCAGGGAGCTGGCAGACAGGACACAAGCAGATGGAAAACCATAGGGAAGACCCCAAATCCCTTCCCAGAGCAAAGGAAGGGACCCAGGAGCCTGCAGGTTCCCCAGTGCCTTGCCTTTGGGGTATAAAGGCTGTTTTCCTCCCAGCTCAGGTGGAAAGACCCAGCCTGCAGCACCCGTCACCTTCACCACCAAGTGTTTGATTCCTACTGGGACATTGGGAAAAGGATTTCAGTGTTCTCATGGATGGGGATCAAGGGTGGGGAAGGGCTCGTGAAGTGGCACAGAGCTCACTCCTGAGCTCTGTTGTTGATAAGAGACTGTGCATATTCCTGGGTTGGGGTTTTTTTCGTTTTTCAATTTTTTTTTTCTTATATGTGTGTGGGTTTGTTTTTGTGAATACATAAAAGCCCTTTGAAAGTGCTCTGAGAGCTGATTTGTTTTCCTGTCATCCCCTCAAAGCCCTGGGTAAAAGCAAACACCTGGAGACGAGGAGATGCCCCAAAACTGGAGGAGAGAGCTCAGTCCCTTTTTTCGGACAAAAATTGTCCAAAATCCCTGGCTCAAAATGCTCAAGCTGCCTTTAATTCCCACCCAGCTGAGAGCTCAGCTTGGACCTTTCCCCACCCCAACTCGGGGGTACAACCCTGAAGCCCATCAGGCTCAGGGGTTGAGGTTGGATCCAGCTTTGGGTTTGTTCCCAGTGGGATTTGGCAGCCACACGAGCTGTGGGGTGGCCCTGGCCCCATGCTCAGGCCCCTGTTGGCTGCTTCTCTTCCACTTCCCACGGACAGAGCTTTCCCAGCCCTTTGATCCCAGTTCAGATCTCCATCAGTGGGGAAACTGAGGCATGGAAGCATCTTCCAGGCAGGCTGTGGCAGCACAGCTGGCCAAGGTTTGCTGGGGCACTGGGAGAGGGCAGGGAGGTGCTGTGGGAACAAAATCCTCATTTTCCTGTGCTCCCAGGTCCTGCATGCTCCACTGCCCCCTCACCTCCCACCTCAGCTCCTGCCTCCAGGACAGCTGGGCAGTGCCTGGGTCCTGCTGGGAGCAGGAGGGGGACAGAGCTGTCCCCAGCAGCTCCCAGCCCATCCCCACAGCCCACACCAGCTGGGGATGGGTCAGAGGGTGCTGGGGGCTCCTCCAGCTTTGCTGTCCCCTCCCTGTGCCTGTGGGAGTGGGGCCAGGAGTTGCTCTGGAAGCTGCTGCCTCTTGGGGAGGAAGATAAGAAAGGCTGGAGGGGTTTTCCCTGTTTTTCTTGGGGACTGTGCCTTGAGCTGGCAAAGCTGGGCTGGTTTTTTTTTTTTTTTTTTGTGTTACCCCACACCCTGCTCTTCCTGGCTTTGATCTGGGAAGAGCAGGTCCTGTTATCCTGGAGTTTCTCCCTTTCCCAGCCTACAATCCAGCAAGCAAAGGGTTTCCAGGCAGGAAAGGCAGCAGCTGCCTCCCTGTCTTCCAGCCTTTTCTCCTGCAGCCAGCCTGGGATGGGCTGAGATCCACAGGGATCCCCCCGGACACTCCAGAGCCAAGCTGGGCATCACCTCCTGTTCCTCTGGGAGCAGGGAGTGGCAGGCAGGGGGGGGAGCAGGGTACCAGCAGGGGGATGCCCTGGGGCAAGGAACAGCAGGGTTGGAGCATGCCCTGGCTCTGCAGCAGGGTGCAGCAGCACAGGGGATGCTCTGGAGCTCGGTAGCAGCACAGGGAATGTTGTGGACCTCGGTAGCAGCACAGGGGATGCTCTGGAGCAGGATCCCAGCACAGGGAATGCTCTGGAGCAGGGCAGGAACACAGGGGATGCTCTGGAGCTCGGTAGCAGCACACAGGGAGTGCTCTGGAGCAGGACAGCAGCACAGGGGATGCTCTGGAGCAGGGCAGCAGCACAGGGACAGGGGATGCTCTGGAGCAGGATACCAGCACAGGGGGTGCCAAGGGTGTGAGAGCATCCCCCCACGGGAGCACAGCCAGGCTGCAGCGGCTGCGGGGGAGCCGGGAGAAGCTCCTGCCCAGCTCCCATCCTCCTGCCGACGTCAGCTGTTTCCCGGCGCCCAGAGCAGCTGCAGCTCCACACCGGTCGATGTCATCGATTAGTTCCTCTCCCCAACCCCGGAGAGGGGATGGTGTGGGGGGTAGCAGGGAGGAGAGAATAAATATTTCAGCAGATCCAGGCAAAAGCTGGGGTTATTTTGAGGCTGGGATTTATGGGCTATTAGGAATAAGGAATGAGTCTGTGCTGGGAGAAGAGACCCATTAATCCAGGCTGAAGGAGCACAAATGAGCAAGGGGAAATGGAGGAGGCTTTAATTATTTTGCCACCTTCTGGGATAATCAGCTGGCCTCTGGCTGGGTGCTGCTGTGGGGCTCAGGAGCTCTGCTCCCAGGGAACTGGGGCAGGTGAGGGGACACTCACCATTAAACCCCCCCAGCTGTGCTGTGAGGGATGGGCAATCCATTCTGGGACCAGTATGGGACCAGTATGGGACCAGTACAAGGATTGCTTCTGGCTGGGACGTGGTGGGGGAGCCCCGCTTGTGGCAGGGACGGCAGGAGGGGCCCGTGGGTCAGTGCCCGGTCCCGGGGTGCCCTTCCCGGGCTGTGCCAGCCCTGCCACGGCCGTGCCCCGTTAAGGCAATGCCGCCTGTGCCTGTAACCGGAGGAGCTGGGCGCTATCCGGCGCAGGGTGAGTCAGTGCCCGAGGCAGCCCTGGGCCGGGAGCATCCCTGGCTCTGCTGCTCCCTGCACCACCTGGGTGACCTTGGGCTCTTCTCTGTTCCCCAGCTCGCCCTGCCCTCCTTGCTGCCTCAGTTTCCCTGGGGGGACACAGGGAGGGTGGTCCTGGCTCACTCCTTGACACTCTTGAGCTGCAGGGACGCGGCTGCCCTGGCTGGAGGGGCATTCCTCACCCCGTGGGGGCACCGAGATTCGCCCCCCTGCGGCCAGCCTGCCCCAGCCCCTACAGCCAGAATTTTTGGGAACGCGGACACCCCCGCGGCAGGGATGCAGAGCACGGACAGCCTTGGACCACCTCCTCCGAAGGGATGCATGAGGACCTGACCTCCCTGCGGCATCTCTGCGGCACCGCCATCCTCGCTCCCTTGCGGGGTGGCCCCGGGTGCCAAGGTCACCCAGCGGGATCGCGGCGGGTGCCGGGGCCGCTCTGCACTCCCCGGTACCGGCCGCGTCCTCCTTCCCCGCTCCGCCGGGCCTGCCGCGGCTCCCGCTTGCGTCACCCGCCGGAGCCAGCAGCTATTTTGGGAACTGCAAAGTCACTGGCGCAATTAGACGGCTGGCAAAGGCAGCGGGGGGACCGCGGGCACGGCTGCTCCCCGCGCCGTGCCGTGCCGTGCCGTGCCGTGCCACACGGGCACCGCCAGCCTCCCTGCGCCTGCAGGGTCCCTCCGCCTGGACAAACGGCCACGGCTGCAAATCCTCCCATCCATCAATGCCTTCTCTCTGCCTTTTTTTTTCTTTTTCTTCCTTCCTTTTTTTTTTTTTTTAATATTTAATTTGATGTCGCTCCCCCGGCAGGAGGCTCCCCACGTGGGCTGCTGAGCCAGCTCGCTGCCATCGCTGGCGTTTGGAGAGAGGCAGCAGCAGCAGCACAGGGATTGTGTGCCAGGGCGATGATGCCCTGCGGGTTGGGGGGGTCCGGCTATTCCCGGGTGCTCTGCTGCCAGCTGGGTGCTCGGTTTAATCCGGTCTGCATCCTCCGGGAGCAGCCAGCGCCGTGCCCCAGCTGGCCCCGTGGCAGACGTGGGGCTGTGGATGGGCTGCGGTGACACTGGAGGGACACCTGACCCTGGGGCACAGCACAAAGAGAGGTGGCGTTCTGCCACGCAGTGTCCTTGGGGGACAGCCCAAGGGGATGTGGGGACAGCCAGAGGGGACAGCTGGGGATCTCAGTCCCTCTGCCCAGCGCTGTTTGGTTTCTCTGCCCACCCTTCTCAGTTCCCGGTAACCTTCAGGTCATGGCAGAGGGGATGTGTACAGAAAGGCTGGGACAAACTGATCCTGGCAGGCTCCAAACACCCCAAAAGTGAGGCTCAAAAAATCCTTTCAAAAATCTCCAGACTGTTCTATGTGACCTGACATCTCTTTCAGTCCCATCCC